TTATACATTTTCTGAACATCTTGCTTCTTTGCCACATTGTGCTCCTTTGACTTGGACACTTCTTGCTAGTTTGACTTGAACATTGTGCTTTTCTGATTTGGTCACATTGTGCTCCTCTAAGAACATTATAAGTCCTTGGGGGAATCAATCTCGGATATGATCGTTTTAAGTAAGGACTTCTACCATTTCACCATTAGGCTCATCCGGTCATTTCTTGCAACGCCATTCCTTTATGCTTCTTTCTCGGATGAATACTCGTAGGACCAAAATTAATTTCCCAAATTAATTTTGTTCTTCCTATGGTAGATTCCTTTTGACTCGATATTCTGATTTATGATGCTTATACTAAAAGACCTAAAAACTAAGGGGATCTAAAGTACATTTGCCTCATCAAAACTTACAAAAATATTCCTATCAGATATCAACGGATTCTGTGGACGCTATCTTTGTTCATTTAAGTAGCTTCCTTAATTAGTCTAGACGGTTATGGTAGTAAGTTAAAGGCATCTGCATCAACCCGCCCTATCTTGTCTTTAGACTTGGCTTACATCGACCCTACTTACCTTGTAAGAACTCCATGTTCCTGTATAAATATCCCCCCCCCCCCCCCCCCCCCCCGGGATCACCATGTATCAGATCGGCACTTTTGAAAGCAAACCCTAGAGAAATAATATCGCATTATTCTCTCTTTCTTTGATACTCTATCTTTCATTTTCACTATCTCGCAAGCACATCTCTTCGGTAGTGTTGGCCTACCGAGCGGCCTTTGAGGATGTGAAGACCAACAGATACAATGCAATTTATAACAAAGATCAGTATCAACTCAAATGAAAAGTAATTGAATCAAAATTCAGAAAAATACACAGAAAAATTACCAAAAATCAGAATACAAAATTATCAATCAAATTGGAAAAGCCCGAAATATGAACTTTTAACGATTGTTTCACACCCTGTTTACAACTTCACAACTAATAGCCCCTCAAAGGGGACAAGCACAATACTTAAAGTCTTTAAAATTATCAACTAAACATCATAATTAATTGCAGTAATCCATAATCCAAATAGCAACACATCATATACTGTAACCAAATCAATAATAAATTAAGAATTAGAGAAGAAACCAGAATGTTGCTATTGAGATAAGTTGCTACGGAAATGGCTGAGCTGCTTCGCTGGAATACTTAATCATCGCCCCAAAAAGGACAAATTGAATTGCGCCAAAGGGAATTTTGTTGCCGAACAAATTAATTGCAGCAACTATCGTAGGAAATTTGCACCGCCGGAAAAACTGTCGACCGGAAGAAAATAGCTGCCGGAAAACCAAACCCAACCGTACATATCAGAATTGCTCCTGGGTGAATAGATGATTCTTCTTCTTCAGAATCATCCTCTTTTATACTGCTCAGGCTTCAACCGCTTAGGTTAATATTGTCCTATTGTATTACAAATATGGATTTTAATGTAGAATTATAGTACGAATAGAAAAGTAAGAAAGAATATATTCTATTAGGAATTGTATTAGAATAGGAATTGTAATGTACAATTATAGTACGAATAGGAAAGTAGAAAACAATATATTAAAGTTTGAGGATTTTGAGCGGGAAGTTAAAGTTTAGGATTTTGTTTTTATATATAGTATAAGAAAGAATATATATTTTATTAGGAATTGTATTAGAATAGGAATTTTAATGAAAAATTATAGTACGAATAGGAAAGTAGAAAACAATATATTAAAATTTAAGAATTTTGGGTGGGAAGTTAAAGTTTATGATTTTGTTTTTATATATAGTATAGATATAGATTATAATATGATTATATGTTTATATTAATTAATTATAAATGTCTGCAAATTTTATTTTCACTGCAAAATGTACTAATATTGTTGTTCATGGATCTTACAAAATGCAATAAAATCCCCCTTCACTATCTTCTCTAGTCTTACAACAAATTTTGAAGTATTATAATGATAATTAATATTTGCCATGTGCGATGTACGGACAAAAATTTATATGTATTGTTATAATGTTATGATACAAAGCAAAATTAGTTTTATTAAAAATGTAATTATAACTATTCAATGTAATATATTATTTTTAAAAGTTTAATTATGTTATTAATATGTTGATTTTAAAGTTTATTGTTACTTGTATTATTATTTGAATTTGAATTTGAATTTGAAATAACTAATTTAATTATACAGCTAACGTATTTAAATAAAATTTATAAATAAAATCTAAGGCAATGTTTATCAATATTGAAAGTAGAGAGAAGCACCATAACGTTGAGAACGATGGTTTTGCACCTTTGGTTTCGATGATCTTCAGACAGTGAAAAGTTAGTTTTAGTTCAATCGTTATATCCTACACCACGGCGCACATAGCACTGTGCGCCACGCGCCTCCCAAAATGACGTCATTTTGTGGTAGTGTTGGGAGGCGCGATAGTAAGTTGCTGAGATTATGTGTATTTATTCACAACGTTATGTATATTTGTTCACAATGTTATGTGTATTGGTTCATACAGTTATGTGTATTTTTTATACAATTATGTACATCCGAATCAGAAAATTTGTGTGTATTATGTTAAGAGTTGATGTGTATTATGTTAAAAGTTTATGTTTATTATGTATTATGTTAGATTATGTGTATTATCTTTTAAAAAGAGTATGTATATTTTGTTATATAATTATGTACATTCATGTATAACATTATGTGTATTCTAGTATAACATTATGTAAATTCTTGAACAGTGGTTTTTTTTTTAAAGAAAAAACTACTGCCATTCACTGGGGCGGAAAATTTCAAAAAAATAAAATAATTAAAACGACGTCGTTTAGCATCTGGGCGCATAGTGCAACGCGCGCCGTGGTGTAGGATATAAATTGCAGTTTTAGTTGGTATTCCAACTGTCATTCGCGCGATATTTTTCTTTGTGCATTATTGGGCTCAAAATGTAGAGAAGGCCCATAGATACAAAATTCACTTCAAGATGATCGGCCCAAATTCAAACCGGCCCAGAGTGAAAGCAACGGCAAATTATGCCCTGGAAACGTGTTCACCGAGAATGGTGAACACAAGGCCAAACGACGTCGTTTTTAGGCGAAAGAAAAAAAAATCGCGGATGTAGAGTCAACGCGTTGATCAAATTATGAATTTTCTGTTATGAGATTATGAATTTTCATAAAATTCATAATCTCATAACAGAAAATTCATAATTGCATAACAGAAAATTCATAATTGCATAACAGAAAATTCATAATTGCATAACAGAAAATTCATAATCGCATAACAGAAAATTCATAATCTCGTAACAGAAAATTCATAATCTCATAACTGAAAATTCATAATCTTATAACAGAAAATTCATAATCTCATGGTTCCAAAGTGAATGTGTAGGCATGGTTCCAAAGTGAATGTGCATGCATGGATTCATAATTTATGAATGTCCGTGATTTCGGACGGGAATGTGTAGGCACGGTTCCAAAGTGAATGTGCAGGCATGAATTCATAATTTATCATTGTTCACCTCAAATTAAAGTGAAACCGCAAAATGTGAAAATAAAGAAGAAAAGTCACGCAATTAATTAAAAAAAAAAAAAAAAAAAGATAACGGTGTACTAATACCGTTGGAACCGTGTTCACCATTCATGGTGAACACGGTTCCATGGCATAACGCTCCGAAAGCAACTACTTACCCACCTTTTGTTTTTGTTTTTGTTAAGGGGACAAATTATGGTCTACACACACTACTGGAAATCTCGCTATTTCCGTCCAACCTTTCCGTCCAACCGTAAGTTGGTCGGCATTTTAATAAAAATTTTAACTTTCTATCACTAATGATGGGTGGACGAAAAATTGGTCAGAATTTCCGTCCAACGCACGAGTGTTGGACGGAAATTCCGTCCAACACTCACGCGTTGGACGAAAATTACGATCAACCTGTAGTGTTGATTGGTAAACTCGAATTGACTGATGGGTAGAAATTAAAAATGTAGGCATTTTAATTTCCGTCCAACAACAATGTTGGACGGAAATTAAAATATTTTAGCTAAAATATAAAGGGATATTGAAATAGTGGACACTAAATAGAGAAGCGGGAAATATAGAACTTTGGGTGGGAAAAGGGAAGTTTGGCAATCAGCCTCTCTCTTGTAGACGAAGTTTTGCTATAGACCGTCTATTTTTCAGACTTCCCGCTCCAGCTTCTCACTCTTCTCACTACTCTGTGAATCACTCTGCTCCACTCCAGTCAAATATTCTCGGCGCCATCGCGACAGCCGTTCTTGCTGCAAATCTCCTTCCCGTCGCCATGGAGACAGTCGCCTCTTCCTGTCAAAGTCGCTTCCGGCGTCTCCGTCTCTATTGAACTACAAGTTAGTTCATTACTCAAATCTTAAACCCTAATCCCTAAATTCCTAATTTCATTTATCCCTAAATCATATTTTGATTAAGCCCTAAATCTGTATATCTCCTTTTAATGTAATTTTATTGTTGAACTTTCCTTATTTTATTATAATAAATTTCTGATTTTATTGTTGAATTTGATTAAGCCCTAATTAAATCCGTGTGGTTGCATCCCAAATTATATTTTTTTGAATGTTGTTTTAGACATAGTAGATTTATATAGATCTTGAAGTTGTTAGTTCAAGTTCTTATAATGGGTCATTCTTGGATTTTGAGTATTGGGTTGTTTGTTTTGACAGTGAAGGGAAAAAGAGAAGGAAGTGTGGAGTTAGGATTCAGGAGAAGAATTCATGGGAGAAAAATGAGGGAAACACGATGTATTTGTTACTCTCTCATTTTTCCTTTAAAAATTAATATTTTGTTTCTTTTCATTATTTTGATTGTAATAACCTTCTTATAATGCAGTCCATATGTGTTCTTATAATGCAGTCTATATTGTCAAATATGTTTTATTGATTTTCAATTCCTATGTAATTCATATTCAAAAAGGTCCTATCTAATTATAGTATATCACTATCAAACTTGTCTGTTGGGTTAGATATATAGGTGTTTATTATTGCAGCAGTTTATAACTACACAGAGCAGCTATTGGGTTACTATTATGAATTCTCAGAAACAAAATGTAAGAATCAGTTGTTATAATAGTTGAATTATGAATATTTTGGATTTACTATTTTTCTTGATGTAGATAACTTGACAGAAGCACTCATGTTCTTATCACATTTTGTTGGTATGTCCATCATGTTTGTTTTTCTTTCTCAGCAACCAAGGGAGACTTGCAATAGTGATATCATGACAAGGAAGGTGTCTGTATATGTGAGTCATGGTAATTGTTTCATTAATATTGAATTGTTGCAAGGCCATTTTTCCTCACATAGTATGTCTACATATTACTTCATGAAAGGCTTTATATCTTTTGACATGATGAATGGCTATATTTAGTTGGCTTATTGTGGAAGATAAGATGAGGAAGTAATAGTGGACCTTGCAAGGCCATTTCTCCTTCTCAGAAAAAAAAAAAAAAAAAGATTCTTTTCAGATTTATTGGTTCATCAAACATCAAATCCAATGTCATCAAATCCTTGTAACGTTGGAGTCCAACTTAATCCCCTTGTTTCTCTGGGCATTCAAAATCTATCATTTACCTCTGACTTTCTATTTAGGGTTCTGATGTTTATAAATGACCCAATTCTGAACTCAGCCCCGCAAAAGTTGCACTTGAGGAAACTTCTCATGTTTCCGACAACCGAGGTATCCAGATGCTAGGACAAATAAAGCATGGCTCATGCCGTCCTCGAGCAATATTATTCAAGGTTCTTGCAGATACTGTAGGTCTTGAAAGTAGGCTAGTTGTGGTAAGTTTTCTGTCTTTCGTCCTACCCATTTATAAATCAGAGATGAGAAAATTGCACTTGGCTTGCTATCTTCCTTTTAAGTTTTCTTCTTGTTCATCTCTTGTTGTTACATTTCTCTTATATTTTTCACTTTTCAAAAACAGGGTTTGCCTACAGGAGGAGCTTCTGAGTGCACAGACTCATATAAGCATATGTCAGTACTAGTTGTGTTGAATTCGATGGAACTACTTGTTGATCTAATGCGGTTTCCTGGCCAATTGATCCCTCAATCTGCCAAGGCTATATATATGACCCACATATCTGCTGCTGGTGAGAGTGACTCTGCAGAAAATGATTCATGTGATTCACCATTGGAGCCTAACAGCCCTCTCTATGGGGTTACAGAGAGAGGAGATCTTGAGAGGTTGATGAAAAGAACATCCCTTATTATTTCTAATATTTGTCATTCTCTTTCATTTTTGAGGAGATCTTGAGAGGTTGATGAAAAGAACATCCCTTATTATTTCTAATATTTGTCATTCTCTTAATACACTAAACACATGTGATTAACTAGAAACAGTGGTGGAGAAGTGTAGAAAATTTTGCAGAACTTACATATCTATACCATCAAGAAAGTAAGGTCATTTTTGCTAGAAATCACTTTAGAAATGCATGAGAAAAATGTTTATTTGATCAAAGCCATCATCTTATATTAGTTGCATTTGCAGGTATACCCATCATCTACACTTGATCAAAGTCATTGAAGTAGAAGGATGTGGATGCTGCATTGATCACATCCATAGAAGAAGTGCCGGATTTAAAGGCTTATTTGGGTGCATCGAGCATATTTAAGTAGTATATATTTTTGTTGTATGGTATTTATAGTCTATTGTTGGAAGTACTATGAACATGACTATTTTTGTTGTAAATTTTTTTTATGTTTAAATATATTTTTAATTTGAAATTTAGTGTGTTCATTAAATTGTTACGTTGATGACATAATTTATTAACAATATGTATAAATAAAATTATGGTAATATAAAAACAATAAAAACATTCCATATGATTTATAATTTTCCTACCTAACAGTTGGAAGGAAAATAACAAAATATAATATGTGAGTTTTCCGTCCAACGCACGTAGTTGGACGGAATTTCCGACCAACATATGTAGTTGGACGAAAATTTCCACGTTTTAAGAATGGTGGGTTATTGTCCGAAATTTCTGTCCATTTTTATATATTGGACGGAAATTCCGACCAAAAAATGGAGTTGGACGGAATTTCCGACAAGCGTTTTTCCGAACGTTCAATTTGATCGGTATGTTGGACGGAAACCTCATTTCCGACCAATATATCGCGTTTTCCGTCCAACATTCGTTGGACGGAAAACGCGAGATTTCCAGCAGTGACAGTGTTATGTCCATAACATAAAGTACATTTTTAATATTTTTATATTGAATGTACATTATATAATATAATATATATTCAGTACAAAAATAATGTACATCTCCTGAATACAATGTATATTATTTTTGTACTGAATGTATATTATTTTATAGTATACAAAATATGGCCCCACACAACTTATATGATCATGGTCCACACAATAATAATTGGTTAAGGGGAGCAACAACTTTTATTTATTTTTTATTTTTTATTTTTATGTTTTTTTTTAAAAATTTTTTATTTATTTTTTTTTTTTTTTGGTGAGTGAAAAGCTTATCATCACGTCTTGAAGGTATATATTGAATAGAGATTTATTTAAAGATCCATTCCTGTCATTAATGTGTTTGAATTAAACTCTTTGAACACAAAAGTATACAATTTGTTGTTAAGCCTCTTTGTACACAGAAATATACAATTTGTGACATTGGTCTTGCGATGATTCAATTTTAACACGAATATTTGTTTAAGTTTGGGTAGAACTCCTTATATGTATAAGTGTAGAATTTGATATTAAATCTTAAAAATAAATTAGCAATTTACGTCCCCATAAATTTGGAAGAAAATTTGCGAAGTTGGAAATCTGAGTTATAAAAATAATATAGAATAATAATAAAATAGGTGGCAAATTATATCGTGCACCGCGGTGCATAATGAATTATGCAACGAGCTACTAAACGATGTTGTTTTGTTTAATGAAAAAAAACAGTACCTGTTTCGCATTGTCCCACAAAAAGTAACTTTGTTTCATTTTCTATACATTGTAGTTTCATTTCAACACAACTACAGTTTCATTTTGATATAACTATAATTTCATTCGATATTTATACACTCAAATATGTGAAAATGTTATTTAATTTTATTTTATATACAATATAGTTTTATTAAAACACAACTACATCATCATTTCAATATAACTACGGTTTCATTGCACAATATACACTCAAATATGTGAAATGTTATTCAGTTTCATTTTATTTTCAACACAATTACAATTTTATTTCAATTCAATTGTAATTTCTTTTGATAATATAAAAATAATACGTGACGCAATATCAATTTAAATACACTGTAATTTTAGTTGGTAATTAATAAACTAAACATGCATACTCCGTTAATTGTAACGGCGCGCCACTTTTAGACCGCATGCCACAAAACCAATAGTTATGCTGTGCAACCGAATGTACCATGAGCATGGTGCATACGGTTCAAAACGGCGTCGTTTTGATTAAAAACGCGCGTCCTACTTTAAAAAAAAAAAAATCAGGTTTGACTCTCAGCAATAGCATTATTGTGGATATATAGTTATGAAATTGTGGATATATAGTTATGAAATTGTGGTTATATAGTTATGAATTTATGGATATTTAGTTCATTCATTGTGGATATTTAGTTCAATCATATATTGTGGATATTTAGTTCATTCATTGTGGATTTTTACTTCATTCATTCATTCATTGTGGATTTTTACTTCATTCATTCATTCAGTGTGGATTTTTACTTCATTCATTCACTGTGGATATATAGTTATGAAATTGTGGATATATAGTTATGAAATTGTGGTTATATAGTTATGAATTTATGGATATTTAGTTCATTCATTGTGGATATTTAGTTCAATCATATATTGTGGATATTTAGTTCATTCATTGTGGATTTTTACTTCATTCATTCATTCATTGTGGATTTTTACTTCATTCATTCATTCATTGTGGATTTTTACTTCATTCATTCACTGTGGATATATAGTTATGAAATTGTGGATATATAGTTATGAAATTGTGGTTATATAGTTATAAATTTCTGGATATATAAAAATGCTATTGCCGGGAATCGAACCTGATTTCTTCTTTAAGTGGGACGCGCGTTTTTTTAACCAAAACGGCGCCGTTTTGCAACCGTATGCACCTTGCCAGGTGCATTCTGTTGCACAGCATAATTTGCGCCACAAAGCGGTCCACAGTATAATTGCTGAAAATAGGTGTAATGGGCCAACTGGGTCTGATATAATGGGCTTAACTGTTTGTTTTTTTTTTTTTTTTTTTTTTCACTTTATGTTTTGGCGCACTTTCGTGAATCTTCGATTCACTTCCGGAATCATCTTCAACACTGGGGAAGCTTCATTCGGCTTCACTGTTAAATGAATTCGGAATTGCAGCAATCTCTCAATCACTGCAGAGGATCTGCGATAGCAATTTGTATCATTCCTAAGGTAATATTCTTTAATATCTGTGAATTTATCAAAATATATTTCAAAAAAAAAAAGAACGAAAGAAATGCAGATTTTGTAGAAGCTGCAAAATTTTGTGATTTCCTTTGAATTATTTCCATTTTCGAGGTTAGGGTTTTGTTTCAGTGATGTGATTTTCTTTTATTTATGAAAGGATGTCTAAGTTATTTGGAGGGAAAAGTCCATTTGATGACCCTTTCTTCACTGAACCATTCGGCGGGAATAAGTGGTTAGATGATTATGAGGGCAGTTCCCGGAAGCAAATCACCATTGAAGAGTTGAGCCCTGAGGATGGTGGTGATCATGCTCAGAACAATGAAGAGCCAAGCAAAGAACTTGTTGTTAAGAACAATGGGAAAAAAGGAAAATCAGAAAGTAATTTGTTTCTTTAAGCATAATATGCTTGGTGATGACAAAAAAACAGTGTTTCAGTATTTATTGGTTCCATTAACTTTGCTTCTGCATTTATTGTGGTTCATATTATCTTATAGGGAGGCAGAATTTCAGCTTCAGGAGAGTTGCATATGGTGGCATAAATGGCACTTACTATAGTTGCTCAGAAGGCATGAGGGTTGGTGATGATGGGGTGAGAAAATTTTTCTGAATTGTGAGTGTTATTGCAGTCTCATTGATATGAATCTGAAGTTGAAGTTGATTATGAGCAGGTGGTTTTGGTAGAGATGAATGAAGAAGACGAGACAATTGGCGAATCGCTGCATACAATATCAAAAGGAGTCCACAACAAGGTATATTATCTATGAACAAAATGCCAAAAAGGGTCAACTGGAAATTGGCAAAACTTTAAACAAATTGTGTCCTTAAATTTGCTTGGATGTACAGGGTCATTCTGTCACAACGAAACGTAGTTCCACAGGTCAAGTGGATACGCTGCAAACGTTACACAACATGAACGAAGGTAGGTTCATTCGTTTGTTGAAGTGAAATACAGATGAACACATACATACATATATAGTGAAGCTTTCCTGAATATCTTTGATGTTGGCCTGGGCTGCTCTTTGACATACAGATGAGCTTGCTAATTTTGAAGAAACATGGAAAGCTAATGCTGATAAACAGTTGCCAGGATGGAATGAAGGGTTCAAATCACTTGAGAATGCTGCTGCAGGTACATCACCCTTCCCCCCTATGGATACAAATGCTCCAAGCATCTTTCCTGTTTGATAAATCTTACAATTTAAGATTGGGCTATGGTGCAAATGGCCAAACAACACTAAAAGATTGAATCTAACCAATTAGCTAGTTTGTAAACCCATATGTTCTCTCTTATTTTATCAATGTGAGACTCTTAACAATAAAACTTAATAGAATATGAATGCTGCATTCCGTTCAATAGGGGCTAGTGGCAGTATATGGGATGATGATTTTGCAGCGTGGAGAAAATGGGCGCTTCCACCCGGGGCTGACTACTTTGGATTGCTGGAACAGGGCAGTGAACCCCAGGATGATGGTTCTAGCCAGAGAACCAGAAGAGTTGTCCCTGTTGAATAAATTAAACTTCTCCTTCCACCATAGCCATATATGTCACCATGCTAATGTTACTAATGATCATCTCTATATATCCCATGTGTTTGTGAAATTTGTTTCAGACTATGGATTATGATGGTATGGCCCAGCACTTTTCTTGAATTTCCATTTTGTTTATAATTGGTCCGATAATATCTTAGACCTAGTAAACTTGTTCCAAATTTCGTTTTAGGCTTAACTTGACCTCGTAAACTTGCTCCAAATTTCGTTTTGAGGCTTAACTTGGAGGTATTACGCTTATTTTACCTCACCTATCTATGCAGAACTGGTAATGAAGATATAGTTTTAAGAGTGAAATTAGTACTCCGTATTTGCAAATATTATAATTTTAGTTTTTAAATTATAAAACATGTAATTTTTGTCTCTAATTAATATTGAGTTGAAATACTAGTTTCTAATTAACCACAAAAGTAATGTATTTAATTAGTTCATATCGAGCTTATTGATGATATTATTTTGGATCGAAAAATTCCCACGTATTTGTTTCTACTCTCTAGCATAAGTTATAACTATGAAAAATTAAGGCTGCGTTTGGTTCAAATATTAAATCGAAATAGCAATGAGTATCAATATTTGGTAATGGTAATGAGTTTAAGTAGAATAGATTAAAATAAATAAATAAATAACTAATTAATTAAAATAAAAATAAATAAATATATAATACAAATTACACACACACACACACACACACAGATATATATATATATATATGTGTGTGTGTGTGTGTGTGTGTGTGTGTGTGAACAATAATAATTTTTATATTATTTTTCCTTTTTTAATTATTTACAAAAATTTGAATCTTATAGTAGGATAACATAAGTAAGCAACAGATATGATAATGAATATCCAAACTTATACCAAATTGCAAAGGTCCCCAACCAAACACAACCTAATAATTTTTGAATACCGTTAATATTTCTTTCAATTATTACCAATTCGAATTCATTTTCTGTCCAAAATCGATTGAATCATCCTTGAATATCATTTTCAATGTATGTGTAGTACGAACATGCTCAGCACTGTCTTTATATATATATATATATATATATATATATATATATATATATATATATATATATATATATATATATATATATATATATATATTTTTTGGTTCATGTGAGGTCATGTCTTCCCATGCGGTCAGTGCGGCATACACCATTAGGTATGTATAAATGCACCATACAGTGTTCGAAAATACACCAGAATGAAATGTCAAAAAATACACCACAAAAAAAAAATACACCACACATAATGGTGTATTTTCGAACACTGTGTGGTGCATTTTTACATACCTAATGGTGTATGCTGCACTGACCGCACGGGAAGACCTGACCTCACAGGAACCTGACCCTATATATATATATATATATATATATATATATATATATATATATATATATATATATATATATATATATATATATATATACACACACATATATATATATATATATATATATATATATATATATATATATATATATATATATATATATATATATATATATATATATATATATCAAGAAGATCAATATAAAAATATAATGTTATCGTATCTAAATTAGTATTATTTATGTTTCTATCCAAAATGATTTTGTCTATAAAATTCATGTCTAAATACGTCAAATTTGTTAAAATTTTGGCCTATCAACTCGTTAGTTGTCTCACGGTGTTTGCACGGTAGTAGCCCAAGGTTTGTATGTATGTGTATATGTGTATAGAATAAGCAATAAGAAGAGAGAAGGAGAAGAACACAATTGAGCACCACAACCATGTAAGTGTATCATTTCATTAAGCCTTCAACTCTTTATATAATAATCCATACAACCCTTCAATTCTATAACATAACAATTGATTAAATAGAAGGCAAATGAAGGGACTAATATTTTAATGGCCATTATTCTATGTAATTATAACACTCCCCCTTGGCCATTAAATAATTATACTCATGCCTCGTTAAAAACCTCGCTAGAAAAACCCAGTGGGAAAAACCTAGTCGAGGAAAAGAGTACATGTAGTATCAATCATGTGTTGCATCGGTTGCCTCGTTAAAAACCTTAGCCTAAGAAAAACTCAGTGGGAAAAAAAAACTTAGCTAAGGAAAAAGAGTACAACCATAAGCCTTCGGGGCATCATCTTCAAGATTTAAAAGTCTCCTAGACCGAGTTTATCGCTCCCCATGAAGACAACAGTCTTCCTAGCCTCCGCATTCCAATTTTATAAACATACTTCTCAAAAGTGGATGTAGGCAGGGACTTAGTGAATAGATCTGTCAGATTTTCACTGGAGCAAACCTTTTCAATGAGTATTTCACCACTCTTCTGGAGTTCATGTGGGTAAAAGAATTTAGGAGCGATATGTTTAGTAAGGCCTCCTTTAACGTACCCATTACACATTTGTGCAACACATGCTGCATTGTCCTCATATAGGACTGTCGGGGAATCAACATTGCTCATTATTCCGCATGAGCGATGGATATGCTGTATCAGTGATCTCAACCATACGCATTCGCGTGTGGTTTCATATAAAGCAATTATCTCCGAGTGATTAGATGAGGTAGCAACTAAGGTCTGTTTAATGGACCTCCAAGATATAGTTGTACCTCCACAGAGAAAAACATAACCAGTTTGCGATTTAGCAGTATGAGGGTCAGACATATAACCAGCGTCTGAATACCCTTTTAAAGTAATGTCCTGGTTGTTTTCAAAATAAAGACCAAGGTCTTTTGTCCCTTGGAGATATCTAAAGATATGCTTTATTCCACTCCAATGTCTTCTGGTTGGAGAGGCACTAAATCTAGCAAGTAAATTCACTGAAAAGGCAATATCAGGTCTTGTGCAATTAGCCAAGTAAAGCAAGGCTCCAATAGCACTTAGGTAAGGAACTTCAGGTCCTAGTACCTCCTCATTATCCTCCTTAGGTCTAAATGGGTCCTTTTCCGCTTCAAGGGACCGGACTACCATTGGGGTGCTAAGGGGATGAGATTTATCCATATAGAATTTCTCCAATAATTTATTAATGTAGTTAGCTTGGTGAATGAAAATTCCATTTGGAAGATGCTCGATCTGCAGGCCGAGGCAGAACTTGGTTTTTCCCAAGTCTTTCATTTCGAATTCTGCTTTTAAGCATGAACATGCTTCTATAAGGTCTTCCTTTGTCCCAATAATGTTCATGTTATCGACATAGACAGATATAATGCAGAAGCCATTAGATGACTTTTTAATGAATATACAAGGGCAAATATCATTTTTAACGTATCCCTTCTTCAGGAGGAATTCACTCAAATGGTTATACCACATTCTACCAGATTGCTTCAAGCCATATAATGACCTTTGAAGTTTGATGCTATACATGTTTCGATTTTTATCCCTCATATTGGAATTTTGAATACCCTCGGGTATTTTCATGTATATATCAGCATCTAGTGACCCATAAAGGTAAGCTGTCACTACATCCATCAATTGCATATCTAATTTCATACTTACTGCCAATGATATTAAATAGCGGAATGAGATGCCATCAATAACAGGAGAGTATGTTTGATCAAAATCAATTCCGGGTCTTTGCGTGAGCCCCTGAGCTACCAATCTCGCTTTATATCTAACCACCTCATTGTTTTCATTCCTCTTCCGTACGAATACCCACCTGGATCCTACTGGGATCACATCTTTTGGGGTAAGTACGGTGGGACCAAAAACTTTCCTTTGATTAAGCGAGTTGAGCTCTGCCTCAATTGCATGTTTCCACTTCAACCAATCAGAGCGCTTCCGGCACTCGGTTATTGACTTTGGTTCTGGATCCAGATTATTTTGTGGAATATTACAGGCAACTGCATAGGCAAAAGTGTCGTCGACGACTATTAAATCTCTATTATATGTTTCTCCTGTATCAACAAAATTTATGGCCGTTTCTATATTGACATCAACCAGATCATCGTCGTTTCCCAAAATATTTTGATCTGGATGTTCCGCATCCCCAGTGTTCGTATTATTTAGAGCACGTGCAGGTTCACTGGGTTCTTCGTCTTCAGGACGGTTAACATTTTTCTGGAGTGACTGAGATATTTTACCAATTCTCGTCTTCCGTGGATTTAAATCTTTTGCACCAAGTGGTCTCCCGCGCTTCTGGCGATGGGGAGTGTCAGTGTGCATACTTGGTCCCACGGGGACTTCAACTCTCGAAGGAGCATTCATAGCAGGGATATGGGACCTAGTCACTCCTCTGTTATCAGTAAAAGCATCTGGCAGGTTATTTGCTAAATTTTGCAAATTAATAATTTTCTGAACTTCTAGTTCAGTTTGACTAGTATGTGGGCCTAGATACTGAAGATCCTTTTCATCCCATGAGATTTCTCAACATTTCGTTAAATAAGGTCTTTTATCTCCCCCTAATGTCGGGAAATGATCTTCATCAAAAATGCAGTCAGCGTACCTCGCGGTAAACTGATCTCCTGTCATGGACTCTAGGTATTTAATGATGGAAGGAGATTCATAACCAACATATATACCTAGTTTTCGCTGCGGGCCCATGGAGGTACGATTTGTAGGTGGTATGAGGGTATAAACTGCACACCCAAATACACGCAGATGGGAAATGTTAGGTTCTACACCACGTAGTAGTTGCAAAGGAGAATAATCATGATATCCACTAGGTCGGATAACGTGTTAGATTTTGGCCTATCAACTCGTTAGTTGTCTCACGGTGTTTGAACGGTAGTAGCCCGAGGTTTGTATGTATGTGTATATGTGTGTAGAATAAGCAATAAGAACCTATCAACTCGTTAGTTGTCTCACGCTGTTTGCACGGTAGTAGCCCGAGGCTTGTATGTATGTGTATATGTGTATAGAATAAGCAATAAGAAGAGAGAAGGAGAAGAACACAATTGAGCACCACAACCATGTAAGTGTATCATTTCATTAAGCTTTCAACTCTTTATATAATGATCCATACAACCCTTCAATTCTATAACATAACAATTGATTAAATAGAAGGCAAATAAAGGGACTAATATTTTAATGGCCATTATTCCAAGTAATTATAACAAAATTATTGACTAATTGCAATTTTATATTAATTATTAAGTATAAAGATTATACTTGCATTATAATTCAAAAACTAAATTTGATAATCTAGCATAAAATGCTATGATTAATTTTACAAAAATAAATAAATCTTGAGAAAATAAATAAATGCATAAGAGGACGAGGCGTGTTGGAAGTAGGGTTTGTAAGACTATTAATAGGGCCATTTTTTTAAAATTTTTGGCTTAATTTTTTAAAATTTATTTAAGTACGGAGTATAATTTAGGATATTCACCGCAACGATTGATCCATTTGCTGAATTATGGTACCTCTAACGATGTGGCAACTAGCTTGTGCAATTTATACCATACATCCCGGCGTATAGCGCTATGGGCAAGGTTGTAAAAATCGGTCTAGGCGCCTCTAGACCGTGGCGATTTTTCCCCTAGGCGTCCACCTAGCGTCTAACTTGGCCGATTTGGCCGCCTAGCGTCTAAGTTAGTCGAGTTAACTCGTCTATTTCGGTCGAGTTAACCTAATCGGCTCGACCTATTTTTTTGTTATGTATATGTGTGTGTGCGAGCGCGCATACATATATATAATATGACATATATACACTCGTAGACTATTTTGATACTTTGAATCTTTGGATGATTGAAATATTTGAGTATTTCATATTTGAGTATTTTTAATTTTTAATATTGTTTTAATGTTTTTTTTTTTAAAAAAAAAAACTATTGTTTTGACGTTACGACTTATAGATTATCATTAATTCATTTATTTGAATGTGTTATTTGATTAAATGTTGAAAACAACCTCATTAAAATTCTCAAACTGCAAGTTTACCACTGTTTTTTTTGCGCCCGCCTAGCGCCGCCTAGATTCCGCCTAGGCGCCGCCTAAACCGCCTAGGCGCTAGGCGCTGTCCGGGCGCCCGACTAGCGCCTAGCGCTTACTGCAACCATGGTTATGTGCGCCCAGCATCAAAACGACGCCGTATGGTATTGTTACGTAACGGACTTTTTTTTATTAGTCTGTTAACGCCGTCAAATGGTAAGAAGAGGGAAGTGAGAGAGGAGCTCTAAAGAGATGGTGTCGTCGCGCCGATCATGCATCTTGGATTAGAGAACATGAGAGCGATCTGATTGTTCGATTTGCGCCGTATTCTGCAATTGTTGGATGTAAGCCATGTATGATTCGATTGCGCAGTAGGATGTGGCGGAGACAGAGCATACAAGTGATCCTGTTGGAGTGGTAGATACAGAGGATGCTAATCCAAGTATTTGATTTTTAAGATTTTATTTTGTATTTTTGTTTGATGTATGATGAATATATTGAACTCGCCGTTGAATTATATAAGAATTGATATAGAATTGTTGTTTGATTGTGGTTGTTTTGGATGTTAGTATGGTTTGATTTGAAGTTGTTGATTCAGGGAGGTTTTACGTGTATTGTATGGTTTGATTTGTTCGTTTTTATGATTATGTGTATTGTGCCATATGTGTATGTGTATTGTAGTTATGGATTATGTACATTAATAGTATGTGATATAGGTTTTATGTATTTTTATGATTATGTGTATTATGCCATATGTTTATGTGTATTGTAGTTATGGATTATGTACATTAACAGTATGGGTAGTTAAACTGTATGTGATTTGCAGCTGATCAGGATTTGGTAGGGATGTCAGTGTGTTCGGTTGATGAAGCATATGACATGTATAATGATTATGCTTTTAGAGTAGGTTTTAGTGTGAGGAGGGGTAAGCAAAGATATAATTTTGCTAGAAAAACAATGAAGACGAAGATGTTCCATTGTTCGAAGGATGGATTTAAAAGGAGTACAGGAAAAGGGTGTTATTCTAAAATTGATGGTCGTACAGGTTGTGGTGCATATGTCCAATTCGATTTACATGAGAATGGGATGTGGATTGTTTCGAAGCATGAGAAGTTGCATAATCATGAATTGGTTCCACCAAGCAAGAGTTACCTTCTAAGGTCACATAGGATGGTGTCTAGGAATCATATATCCTATCTTACTAATTTGAAGAGCAGTGGTGTGTCTGTTGCAGATGGTGTAAGATTCCTTAAAACACAATCAGGGGGATCACCACTTGTTGGGTTTACAAGTAGGGATACATATAACTCTCTATGTACCGATGCATTGAACAGATTGGATGGTACCGATTCAAACACATTGATTGAAATATTTAAACGGGGGCAGTCAAGTGAAAGGGATTTTTACTTTGATTTTGAGGTGGATTTGGAGTCAAGGTTGTGTAGTTTTTTTTGGAGGGATGGACGAATGAGGAGAGATTATGATTTGTTTGGGGACTTGTTAGTGCATGATACAACATATCGTACTAACAAATATGACATGATTTGTGGACCTTTTGTTGGCATGAATCACCATTGCATGAATGTTATGTTTGGATGCGGTTTTTTGATGAATGAGAAGATTGAGTCATTTGTATGGTTGTTTAAGACATTTTTGAGATCTATGGATTACAAAAGTCCACAAAGCATAATGACTGATCAATGTGCTGCTATGGCTGCTGCAATTGTTCAAGTTTTTCCAAGTTCACGACATCGGCTATGTATATGGCATATTGGCGAGAACTCAAAGAAGCACATTAAAGGGTTAAGAAATCAAAAAGATTTCCTAGATATATTCAATTGCTTGTTGAAGTATACGGATACAGAGGCAGAGTTTGAATTTTACTGGACAAGGTACGTGTATGATGTATGCTTCGTTATTATTATTATTTTTTTTTTGTTTTTATTATTAGTTTATATTGGATTATCATTGAATGAATATTTGTAGATTATATTATACAGAATACATAATTAATTTTTTGGATCAAGTTTATGTGTATCTATTTGATAGTTTATGTGTATTCATGTATAAGATTATGTACATTAGTCTGTTCTGTATGTGATATCCTGACATGCTTGTAGGTTTACTTTAATATATCTATGGCATGTTATTTCAGGATGGTTACAACATATAAATGTCACAATAATCATTGGATTGAAAAGTTGTATGGGTGTAGAGAAAAATGGTGTCCTGCTTTTAATAAAGATTATTTTTCGGGTGGGATTTTATCTTCTCAAAGGAGTGAGACTGATGTAGCAAAAATAAGATGTGAGCTCGGGTGTTTTATGTCGTCCTCAGCGGATTGGGATTTATGGCACGCAATACGCAATCACAAGCAACTAGGCACTAGCATAAGGAAATCAACAAGAAGCTAAGCAAATAACAAGTTTCAAGGTTACGGTAACTAAACAAAGTAACAAAACACATATTAACAAGATGTAAACACGAAATAATGAAATGGGACTCAAGCTAGGGAGCATTATCTTCTAGATGCATAGCACACCCTAAAGATTGGGGAAAATCACACTACCAAGAAATAGAGGGGATGCGCGTATGAACCCTAGTCTATAAGCACTACAAGAAAAATGCACATAGACAACGGTTATTAACCGTTGTCGTAGGGGTATACTTTCTGTTGTTGAAGCCGGTGTTGTTGTAGGTCATGCGCATAGACAACGGTTTTTTAACCGTTGTCTTTTCTACCAACGACAACGGTTTTTTAACCGTTGTCTATTAAGTGTTGTTGAAGCCGGTGTTGTTGTAGGTCATGCGCATAGACAACGGTTATTAACCGTTGTCTTTTCTACCAACGACAACGGTTTTTTAACCGTTGTCTATTAAGTGTTGTTGAAGCCGGTGTTGTTGTAGGTCCTGCGCATAGACAACGGTTAATAACCGTTGTCTTTTCTACCAACGACAACGGTTTTTTAACCGTTGTCTATTTAGTGTTGTTGAAACCGGTGTTGTTAAAAGTCACGCAATAGACAACGGTTATTAACCGTTGTCTTTTCTACCAACGACAACGGTTTTTTAACCGTTGTCTATTTAGTGTTGTTGAAACCGGTGTTGTTAAAAGTCACGCAATAGACAACGGTTATTAACCGTTGTCTTTTCTACCAACGACAACGGTTTTTTAACCGTTGTCTATTAAGTGTTGTTGAAACCGGTGTTGTTAAAAGTCACGCAATAGACAACGGTTTTTAACCGTTGTCTTTTCTACCAACGACAACGGTTTTTTAACCGTTGTCTATTAAGCGTTGTTGAAACCAGTGTTGTTAAAAATCACGTACATAGACAACGGTTTTTAACTGTTGTCTTTTCTTTAAAAGACAACAGTTATAAAACGTTGTCTATTGGGTGTTGTTGAAACACCCATAAACTGTTGTCTTTTGTAGAAAAGTCAACGGTTTCTAACTGTTGTCTATTGTAAAATAGACAACGGTTTTTAACTGTTTTTCACCTGCTTAAATTATAATCATATAAAAAAACAATTTATCCATTCACCATATGTTGCAAAGCGTAGTTACATAATTGTTCACAAGCTAATAAGGTTCAAAATAACAAGTCAAAAGACTTCCATGACCAATTCTAATTATCATCCAAGTCATAATACTACTACACAAAAAACAATTCCACGAACCAATTCAAGTCCAAATGATCACAACGTTCTAATGACCAAATCATACCTACTCTATATGACTTGATAGAATATCGGCCCATTCAGAACGCACCAGATCAATAACCGCTTTGTCATAATCAACTTGTTGAAACTACATGTAAACAATAAGAAAATAAATTAGTATAGATATAAATAATTTGCAATGAAATGCAAAATAAGTTAGGAGTAATTCGGAAAGCTCTCCAATCTGGAAGGTTATAGTACAGAAAAGCTAGACAAGAAACACTAAAATGGCAACTTGCTAGACAGGAAACGCTAAAATGGCATACTAGAGTCTATTCAAGTAGAGTAAAATCAATGCATTGACAATACTTTCCTAATATGAATACAAATGCTCCCAATTGGCAACTACCATGTGGGATGGATGGCATTTATCAATCTACCAGTCATGTTTTGCCTACTTTCTAGTTTTCTCTTCCTCAAGGCCCAAACAAAACAAAACACATCCTCTATATAATGCCACTGCAACCAAGAACTTGACAATCTGGATTGATGAGAATCCTAATTAGCTCTTTAACTGTATGCAAATACTATCAAGTCAAATATGCTCTATACCAAAGTTGGTTGACTTGTTTCTATATTCTGCCATATTTCCATGAAAAAGATCAAATCTTTGTAATTGAGTATTTATAAGCCGGCAGGATTTTGGCACTTAACACCAAACCACAAAGATTAAGCACACTTTAATTAATCATCAAGATTTCCTTTATCTACCCCGGCCCATGAAAATCAATCAATTTCAGTGATGGAGCTGAACACCAGAGAAGAATTACAATTTAGAGAAGTACGTGCAGAGGATTGAACCAAAGAAAAGGAAATCAAATTTTTGTGCAGCTTTAAAAAATAGAGTATGAATCAAATTTTCAGCAATCTAACATTAATCTATCATAATATATACAATCTAATTCTATCTAAAACACATAATAAACATTTAAATTTTTTTTTAAAATAATTATCTTTTTCATTAGTTTCAACAGAAGATTCTATTTACCCAAAAAACATTTATATAATTGAAAACATGATTCACATACATAAGTTTAGACATGCAAAGCACATGGTAAGAAACTCCATAGTAAAAGATTGAGTTTGAAGGATAAATACTGTAAGCATTTTAGAACCATGTAACTTTAAAAATAATTGCAGAAGAATCATATGACTACATGAGCTTCCTAACCTCCCGGCACAAAAGTAAATTAAGCGAGGCACAGTAAGCTTTTCCTAGTGAGCCAAGCAAGCCTACTGAACTTTCCAACTCATTATTTCTTAATGCGAATATATTCATTAAACATTCAACAAAAATTGTAACTGTAATCATAATAATGATGCATTTCATAAGGAACTCTATTCAGCAGAGCCCAAGCTTGAACATATCAGTATACAAAATAAAAAAATATCAACAGGGAAGAAAGAGAGGTTGAACAAGCTAAGATAAACCAAAGCAAGTGTACAAGTGTACAAGTGTATAAGGATTGTAATACTCCATATCATCTATCCAAAAAGTGACTCCGGAATGTATATGAATAGAATAAATAACCAAATGGGAGGAAATACCTGCTCAATGAGATCTAAACATGCTTGGTTGTCTTGAAATTCAACTTTTCTCCAGTCAATTCTATCCAACTCATATTCCTGTAATCAAACCAACAAGTAATGATACCATTATAATGTGTTCATTTTAAAAAAGATCCAGTAAACTTATGGTAAAAAAGCTCCAGTTTGTGAATGAAGAAAACTATACTAATATCATATCAAAAAATAATAATAAACCCAGACTTAAAATTGGAATAAATTCCTAGATCATACTTCTAGGTGAATCCAACAATCACACTACAACTTAGCGTGTAAAAGTTAATGTTTATTGCATATGTCCAGCTTCACCTAACAGCTTTTGTTCTGTTTACAGACATTAATAGAGGCATCAAAAGATGAAAAAGAACTAGCAATGCAAAACCATAAATGTCTAGAATATTTATGGATCTACCAGTATGTTGCTTTCCCATTGCAAGCGATGTATTTATCCTATCTACAACCCAGTCAAACAAACTTGCATATACAAATTTCGCCAATGCATCTCTTGTATCAATTGCCTAAATGAAGTTAACACACATTATGTTATGGTGAATAAGATCATAATAAATTAGTTCCACTCATATCATCGTAGATATAGATGCACTTCTCAACATTCATGTTATTTGATGGTGCAACTGTCTAAGAAATGTAATTTAGTAAAATTAATCAGACAACAACTTAACATACCTGCTTGTAACCAGCTACCTCGCACAGCCTCAACATAACCACAATGTGTTGTAGAAACCTGCTTTATTCTCAATAATTTCAAATGATCCATATAGATTAACCATTCTATATCGAGATGAGTTCAATCCTTGCCTCTAAATGCCAGGACCTAAGAAGCATGAACCCTAAAACTAAAGCAGATAGAATAGCTTGAATACATTTCCCTATATGCAAAAACAGATGGAATTTGAACTTACCAACTTACCACAATATACGAAATACACAGTAGGTTCCATTCCAGTATAGACTCACTTAGCAGCCTAGCTCCTCTCTCATAAACTAACCTATAATCCACAACTAACCTAGGGTTTAAAAACATTTATAGCTTTCAAATTTGGAAATTCAACGATACAATTCAGAAATTAGGGATTTGGGTAAAAAAAATTGAGGACAAACCCGTCGGAGCTTAACGGCGGGAGAGGAGGCCGGGAAGAGGCATGCCGGCGGTAGAGGAGGCCGGGAAGTGGCGACAGCAGCAGAGGAGGGAAGAGGTGACGCCGGAGGAGATTGGAGCGACGGCGGTGGCTGGCCGGGGAGGGAGAAACGACGTCGGCTGGCCAGGAGGGAAGATGCGATGTTGCTTGGTTGGTTCGTCGGCGTGCGAGGCAGAGGTTTACGCAGAGGCCAGGGAGGGAGAAATGCTGAAGTTTTTTAAATTTTCACTAAGTGTGAGCTGTGTACTGGGAGGGAACAAAAATTTTTGTTTGAGAGGGAAATAAAAAAAAAATTCGCTAAGTGTACTGTGAGGTTTTTTTTATTTATTTAGTTTTTTTTTTTGGAGGAAACATATACTATATACTATGTACTAATATAATTAGGAAAATAACGAAATTTTATTTTAATTTTATAATAAACTTTCGTTTTTTTTTCAAATTAAATAAGTATATTCATGGTTTTATAGGGACCGGGTCCACCTAAACGGGGTATATAAGTATAGAACGGGGTAAGAAAATATTAACTTTATAATTTTATTATCCGGGGCGCTAGACCCAAAATAGTACCGGGTATATAGGTACAGAACGCGAGGTAAGAAAATAGTAACTTTATTACTCGGGGTGTACCGCGTATATTGGTGCAGAACGGGAAGTAAGAAAATAATAGTTTTATTACCTTAGATGTTGCACTTAAATACATAAGTGTTGGTGTCACTTGGTGGGTTT